ACAGTAAATAAATTTCCAGAATTTAAGTTTTTTGTGGATTGCTCCCAATCCTCAGGCGGTACGAAACCCTCCGCTATTCGTAATATTTCTTCAGTGTAGTTACCTTTTTGATTATTGTGTACGTGGCAATATCGTTAAACAATATTTTGAACCTTGATTACATAAAACATTGATTAGAAAACTAAGTTGACAGTTAAATTTAAGGCAGAATATACTAGAAACTAATATTTACAAGTTAAGTATCACATTTGAACCAGGACATTTTACTTGATTAATGAATGAAAGCGAATAAATGGAAAAATAGAAAAGCACATTGTCTTTATTTATTTCCTTCTTTACTTTAGATATTATTTATTATTAACATATTTCTTATACAATGAAATATGACATTTAATTTAGTATATATTTAAAAATGGAAACAGGATGGGAAAACACCATCAGTTTCACAAATTTAAAACATCGTTATTTTAAACATGGATGTACTTTGCCAATGTTTCTATCGACATCGAAAACCTTTTAGCGAAGTATCGATGTATCGATGTTTTGGTACGGGCGCGCCTCGCCTTGCTCTGGCTTGCCCGGCCTTACCTCGAGTATGCCCTGCCCGCATCGATATTTGCAATCCGCAATACATTCATGTATTGCGGATGATAAAGTCAAAAACCAAAACCATAACCAACACCAAAACTAAAACTATCCAATCTTTCAGATGATCAATTTTGAAACAAAATTCTAAAGATGTCACAATCGACGTAATGTAATGAGACTCCACATTCCCCATTACCTGTACGTCTCAGTAATATGATCAGTAGTTACGGTTCCACGTTGGTATGTCGGTAGCGTCTCCTCCAATAACACATTCCTCCTTCTGAATCTGAAATTCATGCGTTCATATTCCCAGAGCAGACAATCGATGCACCAGTCACGCGTGGGAGGCCTGTGACTTGCAGCCGCGTGCATTTCCGGGGGCGGGGGCCGCCGCGTCAGGGGCCTCGCGAAAGCGAGAAGGCCGCGCGCCGGCCGCGGTCAAGGCGCGTGGCGGCGAGTGCGCGGCGGGGCGGCGGCGCGGCGGGGCGGGCGGGGCGGGGCGGGGCGGGGGCGGGGCGGGGCCCGGGGGCGGGGCGGCCGTTAGGAAGCGGGTTTGCGCGAGTGAGTGACCGGCCGGCTACTACTCGGCGCGCCCATTCACGCCGCGCTCAGGAGGCTCGCCCAAGAGGGCGACGATCCACGTGGGTGCACGTGGAGGTGACCGACTGCTCGTTTCGGTACAATGTTTAGAGTCAAACGTAGGGAAGACGTAATCTGTAGTAAGATCACTATTAGATGGGACTGCTTTGACAGCTACTGCTTGGCTATTGCTGGCAGCGTAACTGCAGGCTATGTCTATACACTGAATTTCTCAATGGGTTTATGGTTTGCGGGTTAGGTTGTATAACGGTTAGCGTATCGGGCTGTTGTATGCGAATTCCTGGGTATAAACCCAATCGAATGCATGGATATTTAAGAGCGAAATCCATCGTACGCTGTCGTGTTGAAGATTTACTGCATGTAGAATATTCCCAGATCCAAAAGTAGCCTCTGAGTCAAATTCAAATCCGTCTCTTTCTTCGCCAGTGTAATACATCGTCCTCCGCTAGATGGTGAAAGGAGCGATGGTTAAATTTGCATGGTCAGGCAAAAGAGGGGGCCTGATGGTTCGAGTCTCGCCCCGTATTGTAAGGCATCAACTAAATTTATTTACGTTAGCTCACTTGTAAATGGCTTCATCACTATCTCTTGCAATGCCATCGTCCTACGTGCCGTTCATTTGTTCAAACTGGTCCTTTCTTAGAATAACTCCTCTGCATAAACAGGCTGACGTACAAGTTTATATTATCCGCTCAGATATACTTTCAGCAAATTGTGCACCAATGGGTAAAGTCTCTACTACGACGATCGAAATGATCGAACCTATTATTCCCCTCTACAAAGATTTATGTTTCTGTCTTCTATTTGTTGAGTTCCCAAAAATAGTTTGCCTTATGGATGCCTTCAGTAAATAATTATTTTCGTTTAAATGGAAAACCAGTTTTTTTTCATTCAGCTGACATATAAAAGCAATTCAACTTAATATATTTAATGGTAAGGTTAAAATAGTATTTAGTGGAAAAGTTAAGAGTACTCAGACACAGAGACCATAAATTTTACTGGCACTGCTTACTTTATTTATTTCAATTGAGTTTAAATAGAATAACCTATGACGGTAGACATACCTAACACAATATATAGTAAATAATAAAATTCCACAAGGATTTACCTCTTCCCGTCAAAAGTCTTAAAGTGCAGGAGCAGATGGGTTATCTAAGGAGAAGAAACAAAATTACTCATTAGGATTGAGTGCGGTAATTAGAATTCTAGTTATGTTCGTTCAAGTCAAGCTCTAACAAGCCGCTAGAGCTGAAAAGTAACCATGGTAACCAAATTTTATGTTTACACCGAGACATCTTATGTTCGCAGGTTGTCCTGAGCGGCCTTCTGGCCTGTGTCTTCGGCCAAGTCTACTACTACTCCAACCCCTACACCCCCTTCGCCCCCTACAGCGCCATCGCGCCCCTAACCGC